TCCGAGATAACAGCCGATGGACGATTGACAGAGTGATCCGAGAACGAACCAGACGCAGAGGTGACGTGGAGACAGAGCGGGCGGCGCCCAGGAAGTCGGCCGACGGTGGCCCGAAACCGGCAGCCTCGGGAGCAAGCAGGAGTAGGCATGGCTAGGCAGAGGGACTTCGCCACGTGATGCGGAGCTCCCCCCTCCCCACCGCATCCTCCTCCTCTCCCTCCTCCGCACCTCCTCCTCCTCCTCCTCCTCCTCCTCCTCCTCCTCCTCCTCCTCCTCCTCCTCATCATCATCACCCTCCTCCTTCCCCTCTTCCTCCTCCGATCCGCATCTCGTGGCGGATCCAAGTCGCCGCATGGCTGCACGCACGTGGGGAGCATCGGGAGGCCACGCGCTGGGGCCACCCGCGGGAGCCTGTCCTGCACGGCCGCAGAAGGCCCGCAGCGCCCCGGACCGACCGGCAGCCACAGCGTGCACCCCGACCCCCCGCCCAGGCACGGCGCGTGTCGACGGGATCGCGCAGCCATGGGCTTCCCCCTCGGAGCCCACGAGGGGCAACGATAGGGGGCGGGGGACTGACATCGGGGGGGAAGCATCGACAGGGAATCGTCGATGCATCGCCGACAGATCGGCGATGGGCCCCCGATAGTGAGTCCGCACCCTCCTGGGCAGGTTGGGGCTATCGGCCATGGGCGAGTGGGGGTCGACGCCTCCCCCCCTATGCCTATCCCCCCCCCCTATCGTTGCCCTGAAGACCCCGAGGGCGCGGATATGGACTTGCTTGTCGCCAGCCATGTCTCCCTCGAGAGCTCGACGGGCCGAAAGGCGCTGCCCCTCCCCACCTCGCACGCCAGGCGGAGAAGTGAAGGGAGGAAAGAGCACCCAGGCCCCAACAGCTGGCGTTTACTGAACGACCTTGGGCATTTGCTGAAAAGCCCCTTCCCTGTTCGAGTCCTTCCTTGGGTGCGTTTGCTAAACGGCTTCGCTTGTCGGGGTGCTTCTATTGGGGTGGATTGTCTGCCGTTGGAAAGGAGCGAACAACACGCTGGCACGCCCGAAATGGGAGCGGCACCCATGGGGACGATGCCCAAATGCCGCCCGAAGGTGGTGGCAACCACTGCTGCAAAGCAAACACGTCAGCTGTGAAGACCGACAACGCTCGTCGCGGAACTGGCGGCAGGGGCAGTAGTAAGAGCGAGCCGGGAGTGCTGCAAGTCATCGTCCCCGTCTCCAGACATCCCACAAATCCTTTTTGTTCAATCCGCGGGGCCCAGGAGGCCTCGACCCCCTGCCCCAGCGCCAACAAGTCTGATGGTCCGGGGGCTCAGCAAAGGTCCCCATAAGCCAAAGTTGGGGAAGGCCTCAGGATTGAAAAATGACTCGGCTCCTCGCTCTCCCGCCCAGTTCTGCTCCGTGCCTGGCCTGCATTTCTTGTCGGCCCGCCCTGCGGTCCGCAATAGAGTTGCGGCGGCCCGCGCTACCACGCTGCCATCTGAGCGTGCGTCTCCTTCTGTCGCAGACAGACATTTCGACCGCCGCCAGAAGTTCGGATTCGTTTCACCCCGGTCTCACGGTGTGTGATGTGGGCCCCCGAAGCTCCCGATCAAAACGATATCTTGTGATGGCCCCGGCCTGTGCCCGAAGACGAGGGCCCAGGGATGCCGAGGGGACCTGGGAAGGAGAGCCTGTGCGCAGTGCGATTGATGTTAGTCTCGCCCCGCCGTGGCGCCTTGGTACTGCCTGGATCCCCGTGGGGAGAATCGACGACGACGATCGAGCCCCGGACCTCTCCTGGGGCGCTGGCCGGGGTCCTGAGGCGGATCCAGCCGTGGCGACGACGGTCGCCCGGGAGGCACGAAGAGCATCAAAATGCTCACAACGAAAATAGAATAAAAAAACCGCATAAATATGAACTGTTGGCGCTTCGCGCGGACTTCTAGGAACCGCGCTGGACCCCCGTATCTGGCGCGCGGAGCGCGCCAGTGGCGGCGCTGGAGGCGCCGCAGGAGGGGCCCCAGCACAAATCCAAGAAATCCGCGCGGAGCTTCGAGAGTTTATGTTTATGCCGTTGTTTCTGTGAGGAAAAGAGGAAGACTCCAGGAAGACGACGATGACAGTCGACCTCTGGATCTCTCCTGAGGGTTCTTCTGACCAGGATCTCGCGGGGGGGCCCGTCGTGGACGTGACCCCCAGGAGGCCCAGAAGAGGGCGGCCACACGCATCCAAATCCCTACCTCGACAAGGGGAAGGACGACGACGACGACGACGACGACGCCTACGACGACGACGACGACGACGACGCCTACGACGGCGACGGCGACGACGACGACGACGACGACGACGACGCCTCGCCCGCGCCCGCGCCCGCGCCCGCGCCCGCGCCCGCGCCCGCGCCCGCGCCCGCACCCGCGCCCGCGCCCGCGCCCGCGCCCGCACCCGCGCCCGCGCCCGCGCCCGCGCCGCGCGACGGGGAGTCGTCCGAGTCCGCGGTCGCCTCCATCATCGCGCCCGCAGGATGCAGTGAGCGGCAGGGCCAAAGCCCGTCGAACGGCCCGGCGGGCTGCCGCAGCCTGGCGGATGGCCAGGCCTCCGTGGCTGGGCCCGCGCGCCAGCCTGGGGGCCCGAGCCAGAGGGACGGCTCGAAAGAGGATCGAGGATGACGATGGTGGCAACGGCGGCGGCGGCGGCGCCGCCACGGCGGCGGCGGCTTCGACGACTTCGGCGACGATGACGAGGAGGAGGAGGAGGAGGAGAAAGACAAAGACGACGACGTCGTCGATGACAATGGCGCCAGCTGCAATATCGACTTCGAGTTCAACGACGACGACGACGACGACGACGACGACGACGACGACGACGACGACCAGCCGATCTGCCACGCCAGGGGGCCAGCCAGCGCATCCATACGCGCGCAGTGGGGGGCAGAGGGCCCCCAGCGAGGCCTGGGCCGGCGGCCCCGAGCACCTGAGACGGGGGGAGGGCTCCTCCTCCTCCTCCTCCTCCTCCTCCTCCTCCTCCTCCTCCTCCTCCTCCTCCTCCTCCTCCTTCCTCCTACTCATCCACTGTCACTGGTCCTCTTCCTCCCCCTCCTCTAGACACTCCTCTTGTAGGGAGGAGGAGGAGGAGGAGGAGGAGGAGGAGGAGGAGGAGGAGGAGGAGGAGAGGAATAGGATGAGGAGGCGGAGGAGGAGGAGGAAGTGAAGTAGGAGGAGGAGGAGGAGGAGGAAGTGGAGGAGGAGGAGGAGCAGGAGGAGAAGGATCAGTGCAGACCCAAGACTCATCAACGATGTTGAAATACACCCTCCCTCTAAGCTCCCTCTTTGTAGGCTCCATACAAGGATTCATTTCCACTGAGGGAAATGCTCCGCTGGCGGACAACAATGCGAAAATCCTGAAGCGTACCAGAACACCATTCTCAGCACTTCAACGCTGCAAGTTGTTTCAACCAACTTGCGCGGCGCTAAAGCGAAAGCCACATGTTGAAAACCACCCGCCCTTAATCGGTGAAACTCCTGAGAAGTTTTGAAATGAATGTGCGCGGCGCGCCGGCGAGAGACACATTTAAAAAACGGCCCGCCCTCAATCCGTCAAACTCTTGCGCAGGCTTGAAACGAATGTGCGCGGCTCTAAGGCGAGAGCTGCATTTTGGAAGCGGCCTGCCCGCCATCTGTGAAACTGTTGCCAGTGTTTCGGCTTGAGTCTCACAAATGTTAAGGAAGTTCTGTTTTAACTATGATCACCGACCACTTGCAAAGCTGCTAAGACCCCCACGCTGTGTGCGTATCCCTTTCGCCCAGTCAAACATAGACATCGCACACAGCGGCGGCAATACTATTTGACAAGGGAGGCGAAAACATCACCACAAACAGGGGGAGGGGAAGGAGGAGAAAGGACAGCCAGGAGAAGGCGAAAAGCTCCAGTGCTGCAGCGCGCTGCTGGCGACAGCGGGGGCGGATAAATCCTGCCCCCCGTGATCAAAATGCAACCCCGTGGGGCTACCTGTAACAAGTATTGCCCAGGCGAGCGTGCGAAACGCGAATGCCACCACACACTCGTACACCGACTCCGACAAGCGAGGTAGAGGAGGAGGAGGAGGAGGAGGAGGAGGAGCAACGGTAGCGAAGCTCGCACGGCCCCACTGCAAATTTAGGTGCACTGGACTACGGACAGTCTTTCTCCGCGACGGCGCGATGGACGACGGCCATTTTGGGTTTACGGGCCGATCCGCTCGCTGGACACTCTTGCTTCACGCGCGGACGACGGCCAGTTGGGCTGTACCGGCCTATCCGCTGGAGACTTCTTGCCTCACTTCGAGCACCTGACCTCGACTGGGACATCATGCCCGAGGAGCCGCTGCTGTGGCGGCCGACCCGTACGCTACCCCGCGGGGCAGGATGGTCCAGCATCCCAAAAATCTGGAACACCAGGAGCACGAACAAGAACAGCACGATGGGCTTCAGCTGCACAGCGATGGGCGGCACGACGAGGCTTCAAGCAGAACGGCAATACGCAGAACGATGGAGACCTCCTGTACCACGACGAGGTGCAGCATTACGATGCGCCGAGCGACAATCGCCAACAGCACGACGATGAACAGCGCGACGACAATACAGCACAGCAGCAAACTGCAAAAGGAAAGGTCACTCCCACGATGCCCACCACGACGGAGTCGAGCTCCACACCACGGCGACCGCCACGACGGAGCTGTGACCCAGACCGGCACACAGCACTCTAGTGCCAAACCTGCACTCCGTGGGTACTACGGCGGAGTCAAGCCCTCCCACGATGCCCGCCACGGCGGAGTCGCGCAGCAGTGTAGGGTTCACCACGACGGGGACGAGCATTCCCACGGTGCCGACTATGACGGAGCCGATCATCATCACGGCGTCCACCTCGACGGAGTTATGCCCCGGGCGTACACCCAACACTCTGGTGTCAATCACTTTTGTTGGGTGTGCTTTGAGCGACGCCAGTGACACCTCCGCCACACCTACATCAACCACTTCTTCCTGCCCTGCCCGGGACATCTCTGCCGACACCGCCAGCTTCAGGGAACGCATGGCAGGGAAGTCTCAAGCGAAACGCCCCGCCCGCCCTTCCGACAGGCCTCGGGGTGCGACAGGGTGGAGTTATTCCTAAGGTAAAGGAAAGGAGGAGGAGGAAGAGGAGGAGGAGGAGACGGGAGGGAGGGAGGAGGAAGAGGAGGAGAGGGGGAGGAGGAAGAGGAGGGGGAAGGAGCGGGAGGAGGCGGAGGAGAAGAAGAGGGGGGGGCGAGAGGGAGGAGGAGGAGGAGGAGCAGGAGGAGGAGGAGGAGGAGGTGGAGCAGGAGCAGCAGGAGGAGGAGGAGGAGAGGGAGGCGGAGGAGTAGGAGGAGGAGGAGGAGGAGGAGGAGGAGAGGAGGATAAGAAGAAGAAAAAGAAAGAGGAGAAGAAGAAGAAGAATAATAAGGAGGATGGGGAGAGGGAAGAGGAAGTGGAGAGGGGGAGCACGAGAAGGAGATGGAGGAGGAGGACGAGGAGGAGGAGGAGGAGGGGGAGAAGGAGGTGGAGGAGGTAGAGGAAAGGTTGTTTAAAATGTACGGCTACATGCCCTCAATCAAGAGGACCACGGTGAGGGAACGGACATACAATTCCTCTCCCTCTTGGACTTCTTGGGGTGCCTGCCGTTACAAAGATATGACCAGGTTATCCCCCCCCCCCATCACCATGGAGGAAGAGGAAGAGCTGGAGGAGGAAGATGAGGAGGTGGAGGAAGGGGGAGGAGGGGATCGAGGAGTGGATCGAGGAGGAGGAGGAGGAGGAGTTAGCAGAAGAAGAAGAAGCAAAGGTGAAAATCCAGGCTTCTGAATGTGTTGAGGCCTATGGAGGCCTCCAGACATCTCCATGGACCCCCTAACATCTCTCTAGATCTCTCTGGGAGGGGAAGTAGGAGGAGGAGAAATGACATGAAACGAGAACTCCAGGGTCTGAGACTCCCCAATAAGCAAAGTCAAGACGTAGACACCTGATAGGCAAATTAGTGACTAGCCGCATCTATTCGCCCAACACTGCAGGTGGGAGGGGAGCAGAAAAAGAGGAGGAGGAGGAGAAACAGGGCGAGGATCGGAGCGAGAGCATTATGTACAGCAGCGACGCCGAGGATTCCCCACAGCACAGCAGACATCCCGAGCCACCAAACCTGCCACCCTGCCGTCATCCGCCTCCTCCACGTTCCTCTCCTCCTGACAGTGGCTCGCGGTTGAGCCGCCTCGACAAAAAAACTGCCAGAAATCACTCCAGCAGAGGCTCAGGCTCCCGAGGCGTGACGGGTCTCGGGACGGGAGGCGGGGGCTCGGAGTGCTGGGTGAAGCTGACCCTCCAGGCGGGTCCCCTCGCCAAGCCTGGCTTCCCTGCAGGTTCCAATCAATGGAGAGGTCCTGGGGTCGATCGACCTGCAACGACCCGAGCGAAAACGCCACGCAGTTGGATCATCGTGTTCGACGTCCAAAGGGCCGGTTCCAAGTCCAAGGGCGATCAACAACGGATCGGTCTTAAAAACGGGCCATGGGGAAAAAGACGAACGATAACGGAAGCAGTTGCGGATAACCACACACATAAGCACACACAAACACGCATGTGGTCATACATGCATGTGCTCTTGCTTGCACACAAACGTGTTGCTGGCTAAACGATAGCACACCGTATGTAGCAAACAAGCAATCAAGCAAGGAACGAACGATGGATTGGCATACGGCTGGGTGTGCATACAGCGCGATGCAACTCTCGCTCAAACTGACCAGGTCGTGAGTATCCGACTTCACGGTTTGTCGCCGAACTTCGCGCATGGCGCCAGGGGGAGGGGAGGAAGGCAAGCTAGGTGCGCTCGCGTCAGATCTGACGTCCTACCCCTCCCTCCCATCCCGTACCATGGCGCTGATTTTCCCTATCCGCGGACGCGTGTCGTAGCGGACCTGTGGCTCCGCGCGCGCGTGCGTGTGGGTGGTGGTGCGCGTGCGTGCGTGCGTGCGTGTGTGCGTGGTTGTGGTGGTGGTGGTGGTGATGGTGGTGGTGGTGGTGCTGCTGCTGGTGGTGGTGGTGGTGGTGGTGGTGGTGGTGCTGGTGATAGTGGTGGTGGTGGTGGTGGTGGTGGTGGTGGTGGTGGTGGTGGTGGTGGTGCGGCGCGGTGGTGGCGGGCGGATGGGCGCGCGAGAAAGAGGCCCGCGCTGGGGCGAGAACGCCATCCTGAACGACGGAGGCCAAACACCGATCCGAAAATGAGGCCCACGCTGCAGCGGGAGCACGATTCGGAACGATTCGGGAGCAGAAATGAGGCCGGCGCCTCAGCGAGAGCAGCATTTTGAAAAAAACGCAGGCGAAAACCCGTTTCCCGGGAATCCTGTGTGTAAAAAAACAATACGCGGGGGGGGGTCGGATATCTTCGGGACGCCATCAGGGGAAGTGGGAGAGTACTTTCATATTGTGTAATTGTGGAGGATGAGGAGGAGGATGAGGAGGAGGAGGAGCA